GATATACTGTATTTAGGAGACGGTAGCAACAGATTCAAAACGCACCGGTTTTTCCATATACCATATTTTGGGTTGTGCCTACTCTCCTACCCTGGCCTACACTGCCACCAGGGCCACCACTATAGATTTTTTTTTTTTGATGAAAGTCTGTTTTGCTTCTTTCTGGCTCACCTGCGAGCGCAGTCACGGTTTCTTTGAAGTAGCCAACTGTGATGTTTCGAATGGAGCACACGGCTTCCTCAGCCTGGTCTGTCCACTCCTTGGCCTCTTTCTGCAAAGCTTCTATCCTCTTGGGGCCCAGCCGGTTGGCCTGCAAGGATTTCTGCAAGGATAGACATTTTAACACCTCTGTTCAAAGCGGTGTTGACCGTCAATTCCCCAAAACCAAGAGCCTCCACTTAGAACCTGCATTCATCTATGAATACAGCTCCATTCATCACTTGTGCCCTATGCAAAAGGAAAACAGGTTTCAAGGTTGAGACATGTCTCCGGAGATTCTCAATCATCCAATGCTCATGGTTGTCCCAAAGTGCTTTTCCAAAAGGCCCCTAGACTTTCTGGGGGGTTGTTTTTTTTTCTTCTTGAAAACATTTCGCTTCTCATCCAAGAAGCTTCTTCAGCTCTTGTTGTGGTTAGTCGGCAGCAGGTGCGGACAGCTGAGGAGAGCGAAGACTCAGATGAGAGGCCAGGACCATTAGGGAGTGCACTGCTGCCTTCATAGATTGCAGCAGCGATGAGGAGGTTCCCGAGGAGCCTGTGCCAAGTGCGCGTGCGCTCAGGATTGCTCGCAGCAAAGAGCAGCTGCACGGGTGACTCAGGAGTAAGGCTGCAAGGTAATGGCCCCTCCCTCAAGAGGATAAAAGCCAGCTGTGAAGCGAATGTTCTTTGCAGGAAGCAAACACGTTTTGAAACTCAGCCTTGTGGACATTACAGTTGCTATTTGAAGACACTTGTGCTGTAAACTATTTCTTCTCTGTTGTTTTTATGGCAGCCTTGCAAAAACTTGGCAAGGCTCTTTCTTGTCAGAGCTAATTAGTTGGAAGCAGCCTTTTATCTGTGAAGAAACAGAATTCATAGATGAAACATTAAAAGGTTGTGCTGCTGCCTTTGTCTTGTGTTTGCTCTCTTGGAAGCAGGTTTGGGTCAGAACGGCTCTGACTGAATGGTGAGGGATGGAAGGAGTTAAATTCTTTGCAGTCATCTGGTTGCTAGCACTCTGAAGGTTGGCTGTCAGCTCTCTGGGAGCTGTTGAAGCCATTTGGGGGTTTACTGGTATCCTCAGAGTCAGTCAGAACTGAAGAAGGTTCTTGGATCACAAGTGAAATGTTTTCAAGGAAAAAAAAAAGGCCAAGAAAGCCCAGTTGCCTCTTGGGACAAGCTTGGGAGATCTATTCAGATTCTTGTGGTCCATAAATTACAGTTGAATGGCTTATCCTAGAAAAGTTTATTGTTTGAAGTCAAGCCCATATGTTCAGCTTCAAGAAACAAAATTTAGTTTTCTCACAGACAAATGGGCTTGTTTCCCATGAGATTTCTAACTCTATCAGCAGAGCTGGACTTCATGGATGGTAGGACCACCAGAAATGGATCTCCAGGGGAATGATTGACAAAACATGGAGGGCCATAGACTCCCTACCCCCAGACCAAACTTTTATTTGGTGCTGGTGCATTTTAAGCCCCAGTTCTTTTTCTCACATCTACCTTGGATTTTTCATTTTGCTAGATGAAGAAACTCAAAAACTCAAAAGCAGGACAGCTAGATGAAAATGTGATATAAATTTTCTTGCATTATTATCTGTTGTACAAAAACCCGAATTTCTGGAGGGATATTTTATATCAAAAGCTATACTGCTGAAATCCTGGTATGTCTAGTCCAGTGAAAAGAAGGACTGGGGTGACATGATGGAAATGTCCCAATATCTCAGGGGCTGCCCCAAAGAAGAGGGAGTCAATCTATTCTCCAAAGCACCAGAAGGCAGGACAAGAAGCAATGGGTGGAATCTAATCAAGGAGAGAAGCAACCTAGAACTAAGGAGAAATTTCCTGACAGTCAGAACAATTAAACAGTGGAACAACTTGCGTCCAGAAGTTGTGAATGCTCCAGCACTGGAAGTTTTTAAGAAGAGTTTGGACAACCATTTGTCTGAAGTGGTGTAGGGTTTCCTGCCTAAGCAGGGGGTTGGACTAGAAGACCTCCAAGGTCCCTTCCAACTTTATTATTATATTATATTCTAAATATGTACCTCCTTAAGTCTTGGAATATGGTGGGTTTTTTTTGAAAGAGTAGAAAAAGAAACTTACCAGAATCTCAAGTCTATATAACGTGGCCAGTTCTCTCATGTCTCGGAACGGTAACAATAAATATTGATAGAATTCGGTTGCCATGGTCACCAGCTCCCAATAAGCTTCATCTTCCTCCTTGTACAGCTCCATTAAATCTACCATCTTATCAGCATCTTTGTGCTTATGGAGAACCTACCAAGACGGTAATAAAGAGAATTTATTTGAGAATCAACCAGCAGTTTTCTTTTTTGCAAGGGAGACTGGAGACTGAGGTGTTGTTGTTTTTTTAAGGAGAAGACAGTATACTCTGTTCTTCCTGCCTTGCTAACTTTTCACAGGCATGGAAAATCTAACAGGGAGAATAAGATACTATAGAAGTTTCAATAAAGCTATGCACAAAGTAAAAGTTTTCCCGTTGTTCTCGCTTACCCCTTCTCTGAGAATGTTGCCTCGTGTGTCGAAAACTGGCAAGAGACTCCAGACTGTAAAATAATAATCTTTTGACATGAGCCAGCAAAGAGAAGGGACTGCCCACTGAAAGAACAGGTGATGTTCATGGTTTATAGCAGGGGTCTCCAACCTTGGCAACTTTTAAGACTTGTGGACTTCAAGTCCCAGAATTTCAATCTGCCTTTGGATTATGGATTTCTTGTCTGGCCGCTCACAGAAGGTCAGATTAGGTAATCATACCTCTTCAGCCCTTATTCTTAACACTGGTACACCACAGGGTTGCGTGTTGAGTGCCTTACTCTATACTCTTTATGTGCATGACTGCATGCATGACTCACGTTAGTAATACTATTGCTAAATTTGCAGATGATATAACAGTGGTGGGACTTATCTCCGGGGGGTGGGGTGGGGGAATAAGTCTGCCTACCAAGATGAGGTGGACCGGTTGCTTTCATGGTGTGGAGACAACAACTTGGTTCTCAACACCAATAAGACCAAGGAGTTTATAGTGGATTATAGAAGGAACAGATCAGACATCCAGCCCTTGCTTATCAGTGGAGACCGAGTGGAGCAAGTGGCCAGTTTTAAGTTTCTGGGTGTTACCCTAAAAGAGGACCTGACCTGGGGTGCCCACATTGCAGCACTGGTCAAAAGGGCCCAGCAGAGATTATACTACCTGAGGCTTCTCAGAAAACAACAACTGAATGAGAAACTGCTGGTGACCTTCTACTGCTGCACCATAGAGAGCATTTTAACTACTGCACCTCTGTATGGTTTGCCAACTGCACAGTGGCAGACAGGAAAGCTTAATGACATTAATGAGGTTAATGACATTGCCCAGAGGATCATGGGTTGCCTCTCCCCTCTTTGGAAGAGCTTTATAGCTCCCGCTGCCTTAAGAAAGTTCAGAACATCCTCAAAGATCCATCTCATCCTTGGAACCCTTCTTTTGAACTATTGCCATCTGGCAGACTGTACAGAATAATAAAAACAAGGACAAATAGGCTGAAAAACAGCTTCTCTCCCAGGGCAGTAGCTCTTTTGAATTCTGCTGTATAGTGCAGTGTTGGTGCGATGTCAGGGGTTTTCAATTCAATGTGTGAAGTGTGAAGGATGTGTGTTTGTGTTTATTTTCATGGTCATGAAGATGGTGTTTGATTTCATTGTACGAGGTGCAATGACAATAAAGTAAACTAAACTAAACTAAACTAAAGTTGCCAAGGTTGGAGACTCCTAATTTATAGGGTTCCATGTTTGAGAGCAGCATGTCACCAGACCACGAAGCTCCAAAGAAATGTTAACTGTTCAAGGAGATGTTCAAAACATCCCCACATCCAAACCAACCTTCTGCCAGATTTGGTTGAGGTGAAGCCCGTCTGCTGATGGCTGCAGCCTCTCTTCTCTTGTCAAACACTACACTCTCGCCACAAATGCATGGGATACTGATGAAGAGGAATGGAAGTCGAAAAGGAACCTGTCAGTCAGGGAGGCCAGACTGTGCTCTTAACTAAAGACTTCGTCAGGGTTAAAGTCCTGTGCTTTCTTTTGCTTTCCCTCAGTAGCGTCTGCTTCATAAAGGTAGTTTAAAGACCCATTGTTGTGTTTCTCAAGCTTAGGGATTTTAAGAAGGACGGACTTCCAACTTCCACCACCACCTGGGGGAATTCTGGGCGTTGAAGTCCACTCCTCATAGACGTCCCAAAGCTGAGAAACCCCTTGGCAAGAAAAGGGCAACCGGTAGCACGCCACAGTTGCTGAGCTACAACTGCTGGCGTCTCTCAGCATTACTCACTATTCCTAAAGATGCTGGGAACTGTAGTTCACAGGCGGGGAAAAACAACTGTACTACTGTGCAGCTGGACCCACGCAACAATCTGGATCAGGGCTCTCCAACCTCGGCAACTTTAAGGCTTGTGGACTTCAACTCCCAGAATTCTTCAGCCAGCAAAGCTTTAAAGAACGGAACTTTAAATCAGAGGTCTCCAAACTTGGCAATTTTAAGACGTGTGTGGACTTCAACTCCCAGAATTTTGGCTGAGGAACTCTGGGAGTTGAAGTCCACAAGTTGCCAAGGTTGGAGACCCCCTGATCTGGATTAACTTTCAGCGTGGGTTGCTTTTTAGCCCATCTGGGTAGGGAAACAAAAGCCCCCCAGAGCCCCTCTTACTACAAGCCTCCTCCTTAACCCCCCCCGCCCCCTTTTTGCGAGGGATGCGTTGTGCAGTGAACCGTCCCTCCCTCCCTCCCTCCCTCCCTCTTCGTCCTTCAATGCCGTACCCCTCTCAAGGTCTCCTTGGCCGCCGTCAGCCGCCCCTTGAGACTTTTCCTCCGGAACTCCTGCAAGTTTTCGAAATACTCCTCTTCCTCCTCCTGGTCGTGGGCGAAGAGCGCATCCAGGAGCGTCTTCCGTCCGCAGACTTCCAAGGCCCAGCCGAAGTAGGCTTCCAAGCGCCGGCACAGGGTCTCCAGCTCCGTCTCCCCCAACACCGGGCAGCTGGGGAACAGCAGCGCCCAGAACCCGCTGGGACCGCTCAGCGCAGGGGGCAGCGCGGGGAAGCAGGGCTCCAGCTGCTGGTTCAAAGCCGCCAGCTGCCGATGGACGCCCGCCAAGGCCTGCGGGGAGTACAAGCCGGCCCAGCTCAGCCGCTGCTCATCGCCGACCTCCCCTTCTTCTTCTTCTTCGTCTTCTTCCTCCTCCTCCTCCTCCTCCTCCTCCTTTCCCTCCTTCTCCCCGCCGGCTCGTTCTTGCAAAGTCCGGTTGTGACAAGTCACCGCGAACTTGCTCTCCACGGCGTTCCAAGCCACCAAGAAGCGCAGCTTGTGGGCCGGCTCGGGCTGGCCGAAAAGGTTCTCCTTGATGGCCACCCAACCTTCCAGGCTGTCCGGCTGCATCTCCTCCTCCAGCTCCATGGGCGACCCCCTGGGATGCCCTTCGGCGGTGGGTGCGGGGAGAAAAGGCGCTTTCCCACGCGCGCCCGGGGGGGCGGGGGGTGGACTTAAAAGCGCGCGGCGGCGGCGGCGGGGGGTCTCCCAGCGTTCTAGAACGCTCGGAAAACTTTGCTTCCCTTCGAACGAAAGAGAAAGTGACCAAGATGACAGCAGCAAGCCCTCTTCCTCCTGCTTGACGTCACGCGCGTCTGTCTGGACTCTGTCATTGGCTAGCCAGCTTCGGGAGGGTGGAGGGAAGCGAGCTCTGAACTCGCGGGGACGCTTGGCTGTCATTCCGCATTTGGTCAGCAAACTGGAGCTCGGCCTTTCGGGAGGACTGCCAAAAACGCCTCTTTCTCTCCCCCCACCGGGCTGTGATTTTTTTTTTAGGAGGGAAAAGGATCTTAACCATTTGTCAGAAGTGGTGTAGGGTCTCCTGCTTGGGCAGGGGGTTGGACAAGAACAGGGGTCGCCAACCTTTTGGACCTCGGGGACCAACAAACTCGTCATTTTAAATCCCGTGGACCAGAGACCCTGGGAAAATCCCCCCAAAAGTCTTCAGGAAAATTCCCCACCCCGTTTTCCTACCGATCGATCATTCTTTATTTGGGATCGCTGGATACCATCTCCAGCTCGGTTCACAGGGAGAGAAAGAGAAAGAGAAAGAGAAAGAGAGAGAGAGAGAGAGAGAGAGAGACAGACAGACAGACAGACAGACAGACTGACTGACTGACTGACTGACTGACTTTTGGCTTCATTCAAGGAAAGCAGCAGAAGGAGCAAAAGTCTTTCTTTCTCTCTCCCAAAAATGAGTCTTTGTGACACTTGTCTCATCAAGCGCAGCCTCTTGGAGCAGGAGGCCTTGCAGGGTCCCAAAGACTCATTTCTGGCAGAGTTTGGGAGAGAGAAAGAAAGACTTTTGCTGCTTTCCTTGCATGCAGCCAAAAGCAGAAGAAAGAAGCGGAAAGAAGCAGCCCGGTGGCCAGGCCAGGCATGTGGGGCAAGTGCCCCCTCTCTGCCCTTTCCCCCCTCCCCTCACTACCTCATGTTGTTCGCAATGCAAGCCCTGTGATCCCACAGGCCATGTGGGCGGCCCAGCCTTGTGTTCCTGTGCAGCCTGCATTAATTGCTTTGGCGAGTGACATTTCTCTGCGGACCACCAAAATTTTCTCGCAGACCACCAGTGGTCCCCGGCCCACTGGTTGGCAACCACTGGGCTAGAAGACCTCCAAGGTCCCTCCCAACTCTGTTATTCTATATTCTACCTCCGTTAACAACAACCCCCAAAATTGTGAAGAACTGGAAAGCAGAGGTTTTTCATGCTTTGCTAAGTATGTAATGCTCAAATGAAAATTGGTCCCATTGTGTCTTGGATCAGATTGGCAGGAAAAGGAAGAATATCTCCCTAATTGCAAAGGGCCGTGCTGAATAAATCAGAAAAGAAACACACTGCGCTTTTAATGTGCTGGGCTGTCACCGGTGCATCTCTCCCTGGCTGTAAAAAAATAATAATACTCATTTTGGATTTTGTTAATAATACCAAGCAGCTCGATTTTCCAATGTTAGAAAATGCTATTTTATCGATGGCTAGAGAAAAAAATATGAAAGCTAGAAATAGCTAATAGATTTGTGAAATATAGAAAATATGTTAATAGGATTAAATATGTTAAGAAGAGGAGTGTTGTAGTGATAGAGATATGATATATATGAATAAGATAAGAATAAGATAAGAATAGAGAATGAATACCAAAGTAATGAATATGGCTGTAAATTTTAATTATTATTGCACAAGATATTTGTACCCAGGTGGCTTCCGGTTTCGCGCGGCTTCAGTGGCAGCAGGAATTCGCGACTGTCCGCGATTCCTGTTGCGCTTGCCGCCAAGGTGCCCCTGATCCAAACGGGTCAGGGGGATATGGCTGCCCTGTAGAGGCAGCCGAAGAGAGAGGGGAGCCGGACAGGGGGTTGGGGGTGTCGCAGACCCCCTCCTCGTCCGGAAAAACCCCTTTTTCCTGAGGTGGTGGAGTGGCGGTCAGTAATGGCCGCCATGAAGAAGCCGGCAGCCGGGTAAGATTGTGCTGGAGGAAGCAGGAAAAGTGAAAGTGCTGTCTGAGCCGGGTCAATCAACAACTTTTAAACACCCTGGAAACTGAATTGTTTGAACTGCTAGAAGATACATTGTATCCCTGAGAAGATCGGAAAGTGGCGGAGTTTAAAGCTGTCAAGGGGAAAAAAACCTTTCTTTTCTTAACTCTCCCACCCCATAGAAACAGCAGGTGAAGATTTGGAAAATTTATCTGAGCACTCAAGGTAAATTATTTTGAAAGTTAAAGCCAAGGGATAAAGGTTTCCTGGACATTGGATTTAATAACTTAAGAAATCGGAAAACCCTTATTGGAGGTATGGATTTCTGAATACTTAAAAGAAAATTGTTGTTGTAAGTGGGAAGGGAGAGGAAAAAAAAATTGGAGCAGAAGTTGAAAAAGGAGGAGATTGCCTAGAACTTTAAAGAAAGATATATTGTAATTGGATCTCTTTGATTAAACAGTAACCCCAGAAAGAGAAAGAGAAGAAAGAACTTTGGTAACTTTGGAATTCTTTGCAATTATTTTTGATTAAAAATACTTGGGTGGTTGTTTTGGAAAAAGTTTTTCTCTTCACGATGGCATCGCTTGTGGATGAACTAAAAATTGAATATCAAAAATATAAAAAAGAAAAACGAGATGGAAAAGATACTTTGGGCACTCTATTTCAATTTTTAGAAATGGCGGTATGCACTTATGAAAAGTTGACACGCAGCAGGATGACTGGGACAAAGAAGAAGAAGAAGCCATCTTTGATGAACAATGGGTTCTTTTTGGGGAGGAGGAGAAAGAGGAAAAGAAAAAGGGGATTTTAAGGTTTGAAAAAACAACCAAAAAAGAGAAAAAGGAGATGAAAGGTGGATACAAGGTTAGAAAACAACAGAAAGGGAGTAAGAAAAGGGAGGAGAAGAGACAAAGGGGTAAAAAGGGCAAGGAGAAGAATAAGCAAGAGAGAAAGGAGGGGATGAGAAGCCTTAATGGTGGGAAGCAAGACTTAAAGAAACAAAACTTATTTAGAGACAATGGGTACCGTATTTGCCGGCGTATAAGACGACTTTTTTGCCCTGAAAAAGATGCCTCCAATTGGGGTCGTCTTATATGCCGGGTCGTCTTGTACGCCGGCAAATAGTAATTGGGAAGCACTGCGGCTGCCCGCGGCTGAGGCACTTTTGCGCACCGTGGAAACGAATCCCGTGAAGCCGAAAGGAGCAGCCAGCCTTCTCCCAGCTCCCAAGGAAACGAGGTTCGCACCGCCCGGGCTCCGCTGAGGTATCCGGCTGGGGCTGTCAGGAGTTGTTACCGCTGGCGCGGCTCCAGTCCCGCGTTGCCTCGGGAAAGGAAAGGCAAAACCAGGAGCCGCTGCTGCCATTGCAAAGCGCCGCCGCGGCTCTTCCTTTTTGCCTTTCCCTTCCCGAGGCAACACGGGACTGGAGCCGCGCGGAGCCGCGCCAGCGGTAACAACTCCTGACAGCCCCAGCCGGATACCTCAGCGGAGCCCGGGCGGTGCGAGCCTCGTTTCCTTGGGAGCTGGGAGAAGGCTGGCTGCTCCTTTCGGCTTCACGGGATTTGTTTCCACGGTGCACAAAAGTGCCTCAAAAAAAAAAAAAGTGCAAAAGTGGAAGGCGTGCGGAAGAGGGGGCGAGTATATAACAAACTATATTTTGAGTGGAAATGTTGGGGGGTCGTCTTATACGCCGGGTCGTCTTATACGCCGGCATATACGGTAATTCTAATTGAAAAAGGGATTCTGGAAGGTACATAAGATTGTGTTTTTATATGCGTATTTAGAGTAAAATGCTTAAGATATAAATGAGTATTAATATATATGATTAGCTTCTTAACGATATGGATAGTGGTTATATATGATTTTATTTAGTTATTGTTATGTTTTTACTCCTTTCATAAAATTTATTGTGTAACTTTAGAATGTACTAAACAGAATCCCAATATAAATTAAGTGTTATATTAAGTAACTTTAAGCTAGGGGAATGAGTCAAAGGCGTCACTCCAATCAGTGTACAGGAGAAGTATATTAAAAGAGAAAAGATGAATGGATAGATGGAAACAGAACAAACAAAGAATGATAAGTATTATGAACTGAATTGAGATAAGATAAATAAAACAAAATTAAGAAAGATAAAAGAGGGAAGAAGCTATATAGAAAGTTGAAAATGGTAATAAGATATGGAATGATATATAAAGTAAATACGATTTTTGAACTTGTGTCTGTGCAAAGAGTTTTTAGCCCGGGATCAAACAGCTTTCAGAAAAGATGTTTTAGGTTTTGTTTTTTTTATGTTTTATGTTTTGTATGTCTGGGTATTGTTTATGAAAGGCAATAAAACTTTAATTAGCAAGAAATATAATTTGGATAACAGAATGAAAAGGAGAAGTTGGGATAAGATACGAAGTTGAATAGATAACGTAAATATCAATATTACAATTTGGAACTATTTTGTACGTTCTATTGGTTTCCTTGGAAAGGATTTTTTATGTTATTATGCCTTGATTGTTTGTGTATTGTTTTTGTAAAACTAATAAAATTTGTTGGGAAAAAAAAAGATATTTGTACCCAGGTGACACAGCATTAAATGGAAGATGAATGGTTTGTATTTAAAATAAAATAAAAATAAGTGTGAAAAAGAAAATGTAAGTTTTTCACCTCTAGGGGATTTTAAACATTGTGCCTCAAATGGTTTGTAAATGGTAAACAAGACTAGTAAGATTGTAACATAGAAAATAAGCAAACAATAATAGCACTTCAAAGCCCAATCGAATTAGAGATATAAGTTTTATACTGAGGTTTGTGATACTTTTATAGCTTCTCGGGGGAAGGCTTGTGTTTGCTCAAGATCAGACACACGTAGCTCAAGCTGGTGTTAATACTAATATAAAATTGTTGATTTTTGCTAGTTGCCCACAAATAGAATTCTTTATTGGCCAAGTGTGATCGGAATTTGCCTTCAGTGCATACATTCTCAGTGTATACCAACATACAGTGTACATTCAAACAACAAAGTGATAAATCATAAATCGTAAAATACAATAATAAATCATGAGACGCAAAAACAAAGTGATA